TCAATAAAAAAATCGCTAATAAAAAATCCCGATTTTCGACTAAGAAAAAATATCGTAGTGTTGACTTCAATGAACATTTCAAGTTTTGTCCCAAGGTAGACCTTTTAGTACTTGACATTAAAAAAAAAATTATTAAAATCGATTTACAACTTCAAATTTTAAGGGGGTGTTTCCATCAAAAATGGGTCACTCTGTATATGCAGATATTCACTCACTCACATATTTTCAAATATTTATTTGAATATATAGGTTAGGTAAAAAGTCAGCCTAGCATTTCAACGAAGCTCTGAAAACCTGATTCGGCCCCCAGCAGAGCAGGCACAAAGTTTATGCTTGCTGTTTCATGATTTTCCAAACAGAGGCGACACAGACTGTCTTCCAACAGTCCGATTTTCTGCATGTGATGATTCAAACGTCAGTGACTTGTAAGTAGGCCTGTTAGACATCGTAGTTCATCCCTACTGTAGTCCAACAACTGTTGGACGCGTTGGAGTGAGCCAATCCGGAAGATTCTGCCAGAAGTCCATACATCTTCATGACATCCAGGTGTTCAATGTTTGTTTGGCAAAGCCTAAAGCGATACCAATGACATGTTCTGGGTCGGGTCAGTATGGCCAGGAATCCAGACCACAGACAATCTGTAGCGTAAATTTCCGCTTGAAATACTGTCGCATAGTATTTATTTGTATATATGCACACATGAAATATAGACAGCATGATGGGACTGGGTCTGGTATTGAGCCTTGAGGGATGTCTCCCTTTCAGTATTGTTGAAGTTACTGCTCCACATATCTCAACAATATAAAATGAATTGGTTGTTTGAATGAAATGCATAACACGAGTCTAAAAATTATGCACTGTTATGATTTGTATCACTTATAGAGATCCATGAGTGAAACTCATCAGCTCAGTATTTCTGTTGTGTGATAATTATTCAGTATCCATGCCTCGATGAGTCAAAGTCAATTAGTCTGGTGTAAAATGGCTTTTATTTTGTTTCAGGTTGGATAAGAGAAACCGTGGGTAGTTACCTCATTCAGATACACATCCTGAATGTCCTCACGTATATCACAGCTATATGCTGGTTAGCAGAGGGAAGAATTACAAGTTTCCTGAAGAGGAGAAGAGAAAAGAAGAAAGCAGTTATCCAAACATAAAGCATGTGTTCAACAAGTGATATTTATTTACATGGTAGATGATTGAACTGATTTGTAATATTTTTGTTGTGATGAAATTCATTGCAAATGTAAGATTTGTTGTTACTTCCAACGATATTGTCGATATATCGAGTGACGATGGAATATGCATCAGTATTATTCGTTAGTTTCGAAGACAATGATTGAAACTTGGAGAATGGGACTATGAAGGGGTTTTTGACAGTAACTAGTATAGCAGTTCGTTAGCTGGCAGTACACTATATGACGTTTTCGATATTTTGTGAAGACGCAATTGGCTACTGGAGTTTTCAACTACTGCTTATATAACGTCGGTGTTGCAAGAAATTGAAAAAGAACAAGGATACACACCTCAACGCTCATTTAAATAAAAGTGCACTGCAGTGTACAATTTCCAACGCTTTTTCGCTTATCTGTTTTCTTTTTAACTCAATTATATGAAAAATGATTTTTCTCCATCACACTATAAAGTTTATACCATTATCGAATGTTAAGAATCATAATTGTTATCAAAAGTTGCTCTAAAAATTCCACTCCAAACACTCGCAGAAACTTTAAATTATTGGCCAATCAAAAACACTGCAAGTTCATCAAAACTGAAATGTCTCCACTTCTGACATATCGATTTTACGCAATTGAAACAATTTTTGTACTCACTCGATGTATTGTCAAAACGATTGTTGGATCTTCATTATCATATGTACATTGAGCAGCATAAACATTTCAAACTGTTTTTGTTTTGGTATCATTTATTTAAGCACCTCCTTTCATAAAACACTCATTCCACACGATAATCCCGGAATAGTTCTTCCGATCGTTCACGGCTAGAGCTGAGAGAGCATTCTATAATAGTAATAATAATAATAATTTCTACTCTCGAATCTCAAGATCAAGCCGGCTTGCCGCACCAAGGCAGAAATCTTGGCCGGACAAATGCAGAACGCTGTCATCCTTTGCTTATTGTATCTGCTCAGGGTACATGATTCTCGCACCTATGATCACACGGCGAGGGAGTTGTATTGGTGGATGATGCTGGCGCGTCCTCCCGAATGTATCGGGATTTCGAGAACAGGATCTGATCAGCACAACTTTCGGGGAAAATGCCAATATATATGAGTTTTAGACGTGAAAGGAATATGTGAATTTCAAACCAAGAGGAAATTCAGAACGGATACAGCACAAATTGTAACAATACTTTGAGTTGATGAACGGAACTCTCAGGATATGATACCATGCCTACGAGTTTAGAAAAAATGTTTGAAAAAATTCAACCAAAGTATAACAAACTTCGACAGTGGATTGCTTTCCTGATTTTCTTCAGAAAATGGGGCGAATTTTCATTTTTCTTAAAAAATATTTATCCGTCAATTGATTGATGATTTGCTTTTAGACTGATTAAGTTAGGGGTATATTCTACTTATCATGCTTAATCGGTCTCAAGATCTCTTTATATTTGCAGAAAAAAGAACAATTCGAAAAGCAAGAATTTAAATTGACCGCGTGTCTGTTGACCAATAGAATTGATGGTGTCTAGAGCGGAGTTGCCAAGTGTATTAGTTTTTAATATCCAATCACAGATCTGATGATCTAATTTGACAGATGCCATTTTTGTTGTTATTGTTGTCAACTGATATTAAATCCTCGATTTTGTCGATTATCTGACGCTTTAATTAAAATCAAATTTGGTTGAGGCCTTCCCAGAGTTTTATTAATGTAAAATTTATTATCATAAGATGAAGACTTAAAAATTATTTGTCAGCAACCAATCGACTGTATCGTCAGATTCTTTAATTTCCTCTAACTTATCGATGATAAATGGGGAAAAAAAACTTACCGAAAAGTGAAAACCTGAAAACACCTTGAAATTGAAAAGAAACATTTTAAAAACACATTAAAAATATTACCAAAAAGCACTGCTATAATTTAATACGGCCTGTTTTATACACAAATAACAAATATTATCAAGAAACACTAAAACGTTTTACCGAAATATTTTTCTGTCCCGGTCCGTCACGGCATCCCTTCCGAATAATTAAATAAAAAACAAACGCAGTCGTACACTATCGGAGACCAACTGGAGGCTAGCCTCCTCTAACGCTATAATTTCTGCAACTAAAGTACAAATCGGGACGTATGTCGCTGGTTGGATCGGCCTCGCGAAGCTTGTGTTTTTTAAAACGGTCGGAGGCTTGGCTCCCTTGCAACCTATAGCATTTATTATTTCGGGTTGATGGTTTATTCGTTACTCGTTCATGGGCGGTGCGTTTGAGGTTTGTTGATGCAGGATACAGTGTGGTACGTACTACGTAGTGAGTGATAGTGTGTTTTCATATTATGTATTTAAATTAAAAATGAATGGTAAAGTAATGATACCCAAGCATTTTTAGAAAAAAATAATCATAATTATTTGTCAATATCTTTTAATTTATTGCGATGAATAGCCTCAAATTTTATGGGGAGGCTAAGCCTCCCTTGCCTCCTCTGACGAGCCTCCGCTGCCTGCGGCAGAGAATTATTCGGGAATAACGATTTCTGACTCAGGACATCTTCAATAATGTAAGGAAAAGTTTCGAAAGTGGACTGTATTATTGTATGGAACTAGATGGAGGTCATTTTGTACACTTTATCCGTTGATTGTGTTGCCATTGATATTACTTCTGTTAATTTTCCCAATAAAATGAGCGACAGCGACTTTTCTGTGCTTTCAAATGAAACGTTCAACATTCAATTTCTCAATAACGAATCAACTAATTTCGGAAGAAATTACAGAAGTAATAGAGGACCAAAAGACAGTCCTCGTAATTTATAAATAATTTTTATAATCACCCCTTTACGAATGTAGTTGTTACAATATCACTAATTTGATCAGTCATCTCAATACCATAATATTTGACATGACAGACAGTAAATTAAACGTTATTTCATTCTTAGGCCCCACTGTACTTAGCCGTAGCACCATATTTTTATTACTGTAAATTATTCTGGTTAACTAGCGAGGCCAAATCCAGAAATCAGAGTTTCTGGGAACAGTCGTAGAATGTTGAGAATTCCTCTCAAATTCAAATAATTAACAGAAATGTGAGGACTAATTCACTGTTGGTCATAAATAAAATGATGGCCTTTGTCCTTCAAGCACCACTTTCGGGAAATATTGCCTATCAATTTCTGCCACAGTGCTCGCGTTTTACGACCTCCGCGAAAGACAAAATGGCGTAATGGGAAAACAAAGAGGAATTAATGTACGCTAATTACACCAATTATAGTTTCAGAGAATAGATTATGGTGTTTGATTGCTAATAAAATGAATGTTTGCCTCTCGTAATCGTCCCGTTTTTTTTCTGGAGAGCACACTATCAATTTTCGTTCTCAAATAACGTGCTTTGAAGTAGAAAAGTGTATATTTTTCGAGGCAATTTTCAGTTACTGCGCCTCTTCCAGAAGTAATTTCAAAGGAAAATTTTTGAAACAAAATGGCTTAGACTGCTTTCACGGCTGAGGTTTTCAGTGTCATTGCTTTGATTGGTTTTGTTCCAGGTTCAAGTTGCTGGTACGAGTACAGGTACGAACGCAGGTACTAGAATAGGTACAAATACAGGTACAAATACAACTGATTACCTGACAAGGCATAAATACGCTTTACGAAGCCAAAAAGTTAGTCATCGGACAGCAAGTCATGATGGTTGAACTTCTGAAGAGGCTAGCCACTCGCGCCAGCGAAACGTCAGGAAGAAATTCCAAAAATCCACGGCTTTCAAACTCAAAAAGCAATGACACTGAATTTTTGAAATTTTTCTGATGTCGATCGATGATTCACAGACTTGTTCTGACCAATTACCTTGGAAACTTGAGTATATTTTACTATGCTGTATGACAAAAAGTGGAACTGAAAATTCACCATGGTTATATCTAACCATGGACTTAGTTAGTGTTTAAGAATCAGTTCAGATGATCTGGGGCGCTCTCCGTGGGGGTAGGAGGGGCGCTTTTACATATAAAATTACGTTTTCATCATTGTTTCTCCTGTCCGCTATATTTTCGGATGCAAATTAAAAATTTGCCATAAAAATTTCAACATGACTGGTGCAAAGTTCCAATTTCTCTCTAGAAATGTCCGTATAAGCAAACATGTATCAGAAAAGTTAAACTCCATAATGAGTTTGTTATGTATACATGAGTTGATGACAATGACCCGAACTTGTTTTTTAAAATAAAGGGGATATCTGTCAAAAATAAGCAAAACGTTAACTTTATCCTAGTTGCATAACATTTGGCATATGGATATGAAATTGCCGTAGACACAACTTTTTCAAGTAACTTTTTGTTTTGGGGAACCAATCACGCTTGAAAAGCGCATCCATAAAGCAAAATTATTTTTTCATCACTGTTTCCCCATGTCCTTGAATTTACCGGTGTGAAGTTAGCAGCCAAAGTCAGCAGCTTTTTTTCCGGAAATACCCGAATGGTCAGTAGCGTACCGAAATCGTGATAATGTTTTTTGGGTTTCTGATGTGCCTTGACGCGAAAGTATATAGCTATACTGTATATTCTGTATCAAGGAAAATCTCTTCTGAATATAATGATACAAATCATTCTTATTGATTTCAAAGTGGCTTTTCGTTTCCTTCATACTCCAAAAATTTTTTTCATTTTGGGGGTGTGTTCAACCCTCTTGGACGGGGCCGAAGAGATTTTCATTTATTCCGAGTGTGGAATATTATGATACAAATCATTCGTATTGATTCCAGAGTGGCATTTCGTTTCCTTCATACTTCAAGACAATTTTTTTCATTTTAGGGGTGTGTTTAACCCTCCTTGATGCGGCCGAAGAGATTTTCATTTATACCGAGTAGAGAATATAATGATACAAATCATTCGTATTGATTTCAAAGTGGCTTTTCGTTTCCTTCATACTCCAAGAATTTTTTTCATTTTGGGGATGTGTTTAACCCTCTTGGACGGGGCCGAAGAGATTTTCATTTATACCGAGTAAAGAATATATTGCCACAAATCATTGTTATTGATTTCGAAGTGGCTTTTCGTTTCCTTCATACTTCAAGAATTTTTTTTCATTTTGGGGGTGTGTTTAACCCTCTTGGACGGGGCCGAAGAGATTTGCCTTGATACAGAATATACAGTATAGCTATATGCTTTCACGTTAAGGCACATCAGGAACCCAATAAACATTATCACGATTTCGGTACGCTACTGACCATTCGGGTATTTTCGGAAAAAGAGCTGCTGACTTTGGCTGCTGACTTCACACCGGTCTTGAATTTCTGGTCAGTGCATTCATATTTAGCATCAGCATTGCACCCGTGCGGATCCGTGACGGTTCGCTAATTGAAAATTTGTTCATATACTTTTCAGAGAATTTTCTCAATCTTTTTTCGAAGCGAGCACCTGAGTTAAAAGCTCACGTCTTGACTCACCAGCAATTTTCGTGAATTACGCTAGCTGGTTCAAATGAAAATACTGGTCGGCATCCTGTGTCGGCAGAACTACTCTCTTCTACGCTATTTATTTACTTGTATACATTTGTAATAATCTTGATAATTGTCTAGCAGCGCCGAGGTATAAAACTGCGGGAAAACTTAAAAAGCCGCGATCCGTGTATATGGGTATTTTATTGACTTAAAGAGTACTATTTCACCCTTAATGTCTTCTTAATTTCGTAGACTGTTAAGGAATGTTAGCGTTTGTTTTTAGGCGCATGAATTATAATCAGGTTTATGT